TCTGAAACACTTCTCAAACTAGGAGTCAAGCTGAAAAGTCCAAGAGGCTGACAACCCTGCGTGTGATAATCCGTTACGCTGGCATGAAAGGCGTAGAGAAGGTTCTTAAACTCCGTAGCTGACATTTGGGACCGCAGCTGTAAGAGATAAATAATATTGCATATAAAACTAACTACTAATACAATACAAGTAGATAATATGAAGCTAAACAAAAATCAAAGACAGAAAGCCGCCATCTGCAATCGGGCATTCATTTTTTAAAAACGTACCTCAGTTGATAGACACCGGGTTACTGTTATTCGGAGGGACTCAAGTGATTCGTTTGGATTCACGCGTGCTATGGGTCGATTGTGGCATTGTAAAGTTGACTAGAAAATGGCAGAGGAAGGCAAGAAAAGGGTGAACCTAAGGTAATGAAATGAAATGAAAAGGCATAATATAATAAGCTCGTGTATTAAAAGCGATGTAAACTTTTAGCGTCTTACAAAGAGGGTAGCCGTAGTCCCTTGTTAGAACAACGCAGAATTGTACTGCATCTTTCTTAAAGCCCTTTGCGCAAGCTCTTATTGTTCTGATGGCAAGAAGTCGAAATGACTACAGATGGGTCGGGACGCAACGCCTTGAGACTGAGGTCCTTTACACCTGCCTCGCGCGTTCTGCTACCAACCGCTACACATACACAGATTAGGTTCACGGACTTATCGTAAAGACCACACTGTAAGAAATCCGATGAAGCCTAATCCTCAGTCCTGGGTTTCCTCGTAACTTGACAGTATTTCAAGTCATGACTATTAACCAGCCGAGGCAGTTTCAAAGAGTGCTTGATTTTTTTTAAACGAAGAAACTAAGCGTCAGATGCAGATTGGGAGAAATAAACAGGGAGTATGTTGTAATTAGCCCTACTGGCAGCATAGGTTATACCTTAAACAAAAACTTTCGGTGTGAAGCATGTAGAACACACACTGCATCGACTCCGTTGCATACATCACCAATTCATGCCGTAACTAAAACGCCGACTCCCGTTTAATCGCCATCTATGCTAATATACCCCACCTCCACTTGCTTTTAGAAGTGGTGGCACAAAAAGCCGGACAGAAGTGTTTAGGCCTGCAAACACTTTCCATCTCCCCTCCTCTTCCCTTCCAGTGTCTGTCATTTGTAAATGAAGAACAATTTAGAACACCCGACTATTTGCAGCGAGGCTACTTGGAGGTCTGAGCGGCATATCCTGTCGTTTACTTGCCTGGGTAGCTTGAGTTAGGGTGTTTTTTGTTTCTACTGAACCTCTCGATTTATGGATTTTCAGGAGGGTTACGAAAGTTAAGACGTCGGTAAACTCCGCATGGTTCACCTTGTTTGGACCAATTGGTAACCCCCCCCTACGATGACAGGTCCTACTTAAACGTAGTCTAGTTGCAGATGACCCCATATGGCAGATAATAGAACGGCCTTTATTTAAGGATATTGGGTCTATCAAATAAGCAGAATAGGCTCATGGAGTGGTAATAGCCCCAGGCGCGGAGTGACAAAGATCCGGCAAATCGGTTCCTCAGAATAAGGGGAATCGGAGAAAACAAGGGCGCCATCAAACTGACCGAAGCAACCAAGTTCCAGTAACTCGCGACTTGGTCGTACACTCCGATGACCAAAGGGCTGTACTTCAAGTGTCCTGCTTGGACATACTGTAGACGAACAACTAGCATTGCACTGAGACAACAATGGTAGGGCCATAATGTTAGTAGCCCGTTACTCTTGCGGCGTGAAAACCGTCTGAAGTAGAACCGGGACCCTGGAATATGATATTGGGACAGAGAGGCACATAAGAAACGAGACGTATACGGAGGACAAGGCACAATGATCAACTTGCAAGTAGGGTCTTCGTCAATAACACCGTCTACTTAGCCGTCTGGTACTTCAAATCTCCGCCCTAGTTATGAATATAGTGGATTTTAGAAGGAGACGGACCGAATTTGAGAGTAGACGCGGGTTTCAGAGCATAAGCTTGGCATACAGTTAAGAGTATCAATCTTAATTAACACTGAATACAGCAATGAGGGCAAACATTGAAAAGGACTCACTTGAAGTGCATTGTAAATGGCAAGTTTAGAGAAGAGGTTCGGCCGGAAGATATGGTCGAGAAACAGCGTAATGTCCGTGGTGGAGGCCTGTTTTCTCCTCGTCTCGACTTCAGCCTCTTCTGCCATCTCGTCATCGTCCTCTAGGGAGGCCTGGGCATTGTCCGGTGCTGCAAACGGGTCTTCTGAACAAAACGCCTCCTCTTGCGGCAGTAGCCGCTGCCAGGCGGGCACAGTGTCACCCGGACTGATG